AAATGCCAACTGAACAGTTACAGACTATTGGACAGGGGAGCAGAACTCTCTCTCTCTCACATATCTTGTTTAAAAATTAAATATCCATCTTCTCCTTGAATGCGTCTTCCTGAACTTCCCGGATATTCATTGACTGTTGCTCAAATGCAAGCAAATGCGACTCTACCAATTCCATCATAGATCTTATTTTTCAAGAGACACGAGGCGGATCTACGAGAAATATACTACTTGCATGCCCCATCAGTAGTATCCACCGTTACACTAATAGCTCAGCAGTAGCAAGGTTCCTCTGATTTATTCCAAAATAGCATGAAATTCCCTGATGTACCTTACACATATGAAGTATACAAGCATTTCTTACAGGACGTGACAGTTTACTGCTCACATTCATTGTGGTCAGGAATGACTTCAGTTGGTCGTACTAGTGTGATATATTTTACCATTGTTCTCGTGCTACCACTGACAAAGTCCACGTAGCTAGCTATTCACCAATTGTATGACAGGACCTAGTTGCATAAAACCATTGTGGGGCGTCAGTGGTCCCGGAACAGGCAAAAGGACGCTGAGTTAGGATTATGCTTGAAGATGCGGCTACGGTTTCATACTTGAACATACCTGAGATGTTTGTAGACATCTCTCCAAGCCGTTTGCTGTTCCAAAACACCAACCACGAGTAGCTGCAAAAATCTGAAAAAAGTACTAACTAATTCATGTGACATCAGGTTTTATGAACCAAAGATTGACGACCTTTTAAACCAAAGCTACTGCAAACAAAGAACCTTAATTGCGATGAAATTCATGTGACGTTTTAGTTTCTCCGTTTTATAACCCCTAACCGGCAAGACTATAATCAGTTGCTTGTCGATGAACGAGAATTCAGAGAGGCTATCATGTCCTTACCACAGTTTTACTGTAATGAGGTGGTATTTGAATATTTGTGGGCAACAGGGTGATGCTTTTACCCAGATGCTGCTGATCGTATAGTTAACCACCAACTTCCTAGAACTGGATTTCATTGCAAGTTGAGGGTTTCCTTATCATCATTGAGAGTTATCAAAGAGTATTCCAATAATTTTTGTTTCATCTTCCCATTTTCTAAATATCGAAAGTTAAAACATAGTTGAATCAGGCTTTCTTCGGTGTACCAGTGTTATGCTGCCGATCCAGGCACATCGTGACAACATTAGAGTAAGTGCCCAAATAATAAAATAATAGAACTTCTCCCAAAACAGCTAAAAACCTCAAACAGAATCTCCAAAACTTATCACCAAAAGAAGCTTTTTCAAAGCAGTTATGTTATTGACTCACTACCTACTTTTAGGATCTTTCAGATAACATAACACGAGCGCAAGCATTGTAGTTCAAGATAAAACACTTTTTCAGCCCACTTTTGTGTGACTACTTTAGCAAGGTTTTGGTGAAATTTTATTTTCTAAAGTTATTTCCTTCGTTCTCCATTTCACCAAAGTGCTTTCCCTTCTGACCGTACTAAGCCTTGTTCTAAGCGACTTTTATTTGCGCAAATTGGATGCTATCAAATGCGTTGGACTGTCTGTGTTAGATATTTTATCCAGTGTCGGGTATGACCTTAATTATCCAGTATCCGCTCTTTCATCTAACCAGTTCATGTAATATCGAATGAGTAACTTCTGAGGTACACTCTGAATGTCGATTCAGATGATACGTTATGTAAGTGGTTTTGGGTTGTTGCTCAAACGTCAATTCAGTTATTTCTGGAAGTATATGATTTAATCGGTACCCATGGAACACATGTTCGATAGTGTTTCGTTTGCACACGGATACTTTTTCCATGGTATTCTTATGATGCGCGTTGTTCATTATTTATTTTTGGGGGATATCATAGTATCAATAAAAAGAAGACTCACTAGCAAGCTGCTTTTAAACTCTCGTCCTCGGACCAATACTTTTATGGTAGTTACGTAGTGAAAGCAATAGAGTTCAATCCAGCGAGTTATGCTTTGTCGAGTATGGTTGGTAGTTTGTGCGGACAACTGGCTGACCGGTAGGAAAAATTTATGTGACGGAAACTGCGACTATGACGTTTCTAGTGCGCGTTTCCGATGTCACAGGATGAGGGTGTGCTGAGTGCTTTTGAAAGCGCTTCCGGTGTCAAAAGGCTCGATTGTACAGGCTTCCTAAGACTGTTTCCACGGGGGTCACGTCGCGTGTTTGAATCGGTTTTGGCCGTATGTACAGAAGCAGGTAAATGACCCGAAAAGCCTTGAATGGGGGTTGACAACCTGATCCCTCTCAACCTGATGATCAATCATGGTATTCCTTCTGTTGAGTCTCTAAATATGAATGCCTTATTATGTCGTTCTCTTAGTTTGCCTAGCCCGTAGCTCAACATATCCCCCAGAACAGATATACAGCTTGCAAAAATGAGCCAAAAGTGCTGGCATCTGTGGGAATTTTTGTACATTTTAGATTTTATGCAACAGATGATGAAGGTCGCTCTCCTTTCCCGGTTCAAAACCACTGGTGTAACGGTGGATACTACTGATGGGGCATGCGAGTAGTCTTTACTCGTAAATCCGCTTCGCGTCTCTTGAAAAGCGAGATCTACTACGGAATTTGTGGAGTCACTTTGTTGCGTTCGCTCGCGTTTGAGTAACAGTCAATGAATATCCAGGAAAGTTTAGGAAGACGTGTTCAAGGAGAAGATGGATATTTAATCTTTAAACAAGATATATGAGAGAAAGAGTTTTGCTCCCCTGTTCAATAGTTTGTAATTGTTCAGTTGGTGTTTCCCTAATAAACAACTCCGCAGCGAAGGTCTTCTTCGTTCCACTGGTAAAGTCTTAGTCATCACTGATAGTCGTTTATTGTTTGGTGACTAATTGTGCTTCTGCAAATAATTCTTTTCTGCTTTGGATCAGCAACTGAGACTGGCGATCAACAATAGTGAACAAATATGTCCACATCGTGCCTCAAATTCAGTGGTATATAACCTAATAGACGCCATTTGAATGCTTTCTGTGACGTTAAATATTAATTAAAGAGATTTTCAATCTATATGTTGTACGTCATACTTCACTAAGCTATAAAACACAAAAGGTTTCACCAGGAGTGAGGGAATCACCTAAGGCGAGTCATTAAAGCTTTTGATTCATATACAAACAGAACATACACCGCTCGAATTTGTTGGTAACCTCGTACTGAAATTTCTCTTCTTTCGTTTCCCCCGTGGTTCAGCTTCCAGCTATCTTATCCTAGTGCTATTTGCGACAAAAACTATTGCATAGACAGCTCCGAGTCCTCATCTATTTCTCCGGTGGCGGTAGGCTTAGGCTGTGTCAGTCTCTTGAGGATGAAAGTCGCACATCCGGTAAATGGCTTGAGCTACCAACTACATATATTTGAAGGGGTTTGTCATTGACGAATCTCTGCTTTAGGGGTGCAAAGGACGCCAATTTACTTTAAGTACGGTCTGATCACAAGGCTCTGTTTGATATAAGAGCTCATTGATGACCTCTAGTGTTCTCATAAGTATTCAACCAAAATAACATGGACAGTGTAGCTGACGTTTTTGTGAGTGCTCCTGTGATTTCAACTACTTTGATATTCAAGGTGTAAAATTATCATTTAATCTCCCGAATGCACTTACAGTGGTGCATCAGGTTCCAAAAGAAGTGTACCACAGTAGTATCTCTTATTGGTTTCGATAAGTTGGCGTAAATGACCTCCAACTGTTGAACAGATTGTGATGGATTTCTTCATAAAATGTTCACATCACCTGTAGAGCACTATATCATCATGCTTATACAAGCTCCTGCCTATTTGGTTAACAATCGAAAGTTCATTATTCGTGATGCTTTTATCAACACAATTTCTGGTTTACCCGGTTCAGCCTGCAATGTGAGCTCATCCTCTTTTATGACTCTGTTTCTAATGTGTCCACGAATGACTACGATGAAGGGGAGCCATTCAATGAACCTTCCTGAACCTCAGGAAAGCTTCAGGGCATCCTAGAACACATCCTCAGGGGAATTAACTCCGAATTACACCTACAGAACTTTGGGAAAGAGCGCAGGGCTCTTCTTTTAGCTTCTATGAGCTCCTATCTTACCATAGTGATGGGCGAGCAAAGTACGAAATGTCTCCCTAAGGGTTATAATTAATTTCAGCGAGACTTTCTCCCCGGTCTGGAGTTCTGTTGGCAGATCACCTCTCGGTCTGGGAGTGGAATAAGGACAAAGGGACGTTTAGTAGCACGGGGCAATACTTTCGGGATTTTTTGACTGTTACCTGATATGGCCACTCTTCTGAAACAAAGTTACGGGTATTTAATCTTCTCCAACCTACTTAAGATCCACGTATATGAATACCTTGACAGTTGTCCTAACGTCAATCACGACGGAGCGTAGTTTTTGCGGTTTTTTCCATGTTCATCTCATACCAAAATTCCTTCCATACCTATGTATTTCAAAGTCTTCATTGGATCTCCAAATTATCACTAATAGATTCAAAGTCGATGAGTTTCAGTGCACCACTTGAAATGGAGTCTGGCGGTCCTTCTTTTGTTAGTTTCCGACTGGTGAGCCCAGAGGAGCAGTGTCTAAGGAACTCTGGCTGTAACAGTCGGTTTCATGGGGAAGTCGACTCGCTCATGTCCCGAAGGCGGATGCCAGTGTCTAGAATTCCAGCACTTTCAGAGTTTTGCCAGCGGTGTTGCAAGCAAAGCATTCATACAAGCCACAAACCGCAACAAGCCAGGGTTTTTTTCATTACAGTGGTGCTTTTCGATCTTCAAGAAATTTGCCGTTGGTGGCGTCTTTATTCTTTCATATAAGGCACCAAGGAATGGTTGTGATAGACTAGCCCTAAGTCCCTTCACCATCCACTTTTGTTATTTTCTTCACAATAAGGCCTTTAAATAAATCGTGCTTGTATGGCAGCTAAGTAGTAGTATCAAACACGGATGTCATGCTGTCGATGATGATTTTGGAGTGGGTCACGTGACCACTGATGGAAAGTCGACGAAAAATCAATAATGGCATATTGACTGAAATCAGCCGCAGAATTTCGGACTTTAGGCTGAAATTGCATGAACGATGGCGCTGCAAAAAATGAGGAGAAAATTTGGTCGTATGATTCAACTGCGGCTTGAGCGTACGACCGATTATATTCGTAATTTCGTTGCGAAAAAATTCAAAAATGCCAGTGTTGTGACAGCTACTGATCAAGGTCACCTTGACAATATGATACTCCTGGTGCAGCTGATTTCATTAATCTTGTTCCTCGTCTGCCAGTCATACCCCGGATTTTTGCGAATACGACTGATATATAAGCCAGAATTTTGCTACAATGGAACTAACTGTAGTTATAAGATGGATGAACTCCTGTTTCGACCGGTTGAAGCTCATCCTGGATACAGAGGTATCTGGGAATCCCTACAGAGAGTCACAAAACTTCTTCCACAATATTCAGGTGAAGACAAGGAGATTGACGGTTTAAGTAAGTTCACATGATGTGTAAAGGGCCTGTCTATTATTGAATGCAGAGAAGGGCTTAAAATACTGGCACAATGTCAGCAGCAGGTGAATAGGCAAACAAATTCAATATTGAAGAATACTCAGAAAAACAAACAACGAAAATATTTAAGTTTGGTGCAGTCTTTGTCCAGAATGATTCCGGAGTGACTGACTGAATGACTGTCCAAGACAATATGCTGATTGTATATGAGCTTTGGGTATAAGTGAACTGGTAAAGAGAATGTAAATGGAAGGAAGTATACGAAGATTTATAATTCACACATCTTATGTGACTAAACTCCCAGCCACTTATAACTGTGAAGAAATGGTCAGCACTACGGTCATCATCAAAATCATCAAAATCATCATCGTTATAACCAGCCGAAGCAGCAACAGCCCCTCCACTAGCAGCATTGACACGAAAATTGTCACAACAGACAGCAACCTACGGATCAGTAAGCATAATGCTCTTGTTGGGATGTTCGTTCCAAGCGAACACAGCGCGTAGGTCACAGTGAAGTAGAAAATATCTCCAATCAAGATGCCTTTACTAATTTTATACGCTAAAACCGAAAATAAAACTGTCGTTCTTTCCTACTACCACCTAACTCTCTAGTATTGTGTATTCTAGGCGTTTCGGCTCATCATCTATGATATTCTACTAGTAAAGCCTTCAGCTCTATGACACTCATCGGCAGAAGTGATCAGTGAGGTTGGAAAATTTATGATACACCGCGGTGCCAATATCAGAGCAGCTTTTGCGAACCTACGTCACCTGTGGCGTAGGCGTGACATCAGTTTCTCTGTCAAGGGTCGGGTTTACAATGCTGCGGTGCGCTCCATATTACTATATGGATCAGAAACCTGGCCGCTGCGCGCCGAGGACGTCAAAAGACTTTCAGTGTTTGACCATCGATGTCTTCGGAGCATTGCCCGAATCTGGTGGGAACACCGGATCAGCAATTTTGAAGTACGTCGAATGGTA